ACTTCTAAAAAATCTGCCTAATGAGCGCAGCTTCAGAAAGTCAATATTGTAAATCCAGGAACAGTTGTAAACCAGTCCGTAGTGGAATGTGAGCAAAAAAATATCCTGGACTATGTCCTGCGAAATTTACTCTTCCTGCATCACTTGTAACGCACCAATGCCCGCATAAAAGGACGCGCAAGTAACCAAATAAAGTAATAATCAGGACAAATTTAGCCGGTGAAGTGCCGAAAAGTGAGATGGTGCAAATCACTAACTGGACATCTGCAAAGGCTCAGCGAATTGAGACGAATCGTTGTTCCACCCAAGATGACCAGCGTCGACTCGCCTACAAGGCGTCCACTGCATCTGGTAAAATAGTTTCAACAGAAAAGTGTGTTTAAACAGAATAGTGTAGATGCTTATAAAAACGATCGGCCAAGTAACCAGCAGGTGGCAGTTGTTGGCAAAGTGCTCCCCTTCGGATTGCTTCCGATTGCCTTTGTCTCTCAGTGGAATAAATATGGAGCATATTTTGATTTTAGATTTGCTTAAACGAAGAGTTCGATTAGGGCAGTAAATTCCGCAAGTGGGATTTTTTCTCCTAATGCTTCACTAAGGCAAGCGTTTCTAACCTTATTTTCCACCCAGACTACCCAGAACATGTGTTTGAAATACAGGGTCAGACTAGCGTACATGCCTTATGCGTATGTATGAACATGTGCATGTAACCAACACCTGGTCATAAATATATATATATATACTTATAATCAGTTATAAATATATATATAGGCTGTCTGCGCGCGTGTATTTTCGAACTTTTCGTCACCCACTTTCAACTCGAGAACTAACCCAGGCTGGAATGCACCAGGATCTCTGGTGCGATCATACATTTTAGCACTAACCTCGCAGATCACTATTAGCAGGAATGATATATATATATATATATATATACTTGTAATTGTGCTGCATGACAAACCAGTTATACAAATAAATTACATCTGAAGAGAAAATGTGGCGAAGCTCTGGCGAGCCGAAGCTTCCCAGAAAAGGGTGGTCGAACTCGGCAGGAGGACGAAGTAGGAGATCAACACTCGGTCATAGAGGTGAGAAGGAATGCTTTGCCGGCGACCACAATTCAAGGGACTGCATAACTCTAAAGAAAGTAGGGTGTCCAAAGGTTAGAAAGGAGATCAGGAATATTACATCATAATGATGTAATGGATTTTTACAAAGTTTTGAAAAAGTAATAAATCATTACACAATAGAAATTCACTGAAGTACAGATATATCAAAATAAGTTTTATCTAAAACTGTATTTGGAATTCTTGTCCCTTTTAAATTTTAGGTTTTTTAATTTTTTTGTTTTTGACTTCTTTTAACTTTTTTTCATTAAAACCTCTATTTCTTTCAAATTTTTTAACTTTATGCTTTTTTAACTGTTTTTGATTCCGTTGGGTTTCTGCTGTCATGCTTGAAATAGCCAGATTAACCCGATTTAAATTTAGAAGTGCAGCACGTTTTAATGCTGTTTGTAGAAAAACTATAGTTGTGGAAAAACCGGTTCTTTAAGTCTGCACAGGCTTCTTTCTGTGTCAAAAAAATTTGAGCTTCTTTTGATCAAATTAGTAACAATTCCAGAAGAGGCGCTTAAACAGAAACATGAACGGGAAGTGGTGATTGAGAAAAGGCACCATGCTGAAGTTGGCGTTGCTGCGAGCGATTATGCAAATTTGGCGAACGAAAGAATTTCACCCAGTGCGTCAGCATTTACTACTACTGTTCGTGCCACTAGACAATCGATGAATTCACATATTTGTCCTTTTTCAGGTCCAGTTTTAATTCAGGACCCTGGGAAAAGCCTATAATTCAATCGTTTTATCAGGCAAGATTGTTCACCACTCGCCAAATTAATTCATTACTTGATTTTGTTATCTGAGAGAAGATCAGGCTACTCACGAAGCCAGTTCCGCTCCCACTCATCACTCTAGATAATCGCGTATAATAATTGATAATTAGCTTTTTATTCCGAGTTGAATTTCCCGGTTAGCGAAGTAAATTGTAATCAACCAAATAGGCAACATGGAGATGCAATGACGCTGATATTAAGTTTCACGAAAAAGTATCATGGTGTGTGGTGGAAATTCTGTCATTCAAAAGGCGGGCAATAAAGCAGTAAAAAACGGCAAAGAAACGAGAATGTATAAGACAAGGCACTGACACTGGTCATCTTTCTAAGAAGACCAGGCTAGTTAGCAGCAAAAACGCGCGAGATTAACAACGCCAGTGCTAGGACTTGCAGTGATATTGAAACTGGCTGCGAAGCAAATATTGCAGATATTTTTGCTGTGTTTACTTGGCAATTTTTGATAAAGAGCTAACTGGGCTACAGACATTTTTGTCAAGAAACTTATTTCCCTTTTTCAATTTAGTGTGTTTCATGCAAATATTTGTGCAAATAAAACGCATTTTGTGCACATTACATTAATCAGCTGATGTTTCATTTTCGCGTTTTTGTTCTTTCAGCTGGCAACTTCTCCATTTTTCTCTGTTTTGAGCCTCTCTCATTCCTTTAGCCATCCAGGCTGTTTCTTTCAAATTAGCTATTTGTATTATCAGCTCATGCACTTTTACTGTCATTTTTAAGATCAAAAATC